TCTGTTCTGCTTTGGTCAGACCTCATCTGGAATTCAAGAAGGATATTGCCAAGCTTGAACACGTCCAGATAAATGTGACTAAAATGGTAAAAGTCTGGAAGCCAAGTACTATGAGCAGAGGCTTAGGGAGCTGCATATGTTTAACTTGGAGGAGAAAAAGTGAAAAGGGGACAATAATCTCAGGATGAACTTTGTAAGAAGTTTTCAGAATGTCTCTAAAATATTCAAAGTGTTTCTGTTTACCTAAGGAAGGCTTACCTAATCTGGGTGTTTTTATTTCACATATGCATGTTATCATAAATTCTCAATAAAATGTTTGCTGAAACATGTTGAACTGCTCTTTTCTGTGGTGATAGAAGCATTCCCTATTCTTTCCATGTTCTTTCTGCAGATGGTACCAAATATTTGATTAAAAAGGAAAAGGAAGAACTGGGAATTCCGAACACTATATTTAAACTGCTTGTGAAAATAAGCTACATGGATAGTGTGTGTGTGTGGAAAAAATGAAATACCCTTGAAGAAGGTACGAAGTCATTGCTGTTTCCACTTCCTTGGTTTGAGATGCTAGGTACTTATGTGTATGTGTGAACATATATAGAGATATACAGAGACATACTAGGTATATTATTGGCAAACACTAACATCTATGTGGCACAAAGTACAGTGTTCTGATATTTCAGATATTTGTCATTAAAAATCCAGTCTGATTGTAACAACAATTCATTCCACCTGTACATCTCCAACTTCTCCCCTATTTGTTTGAATGTTGTAGCTTATTACATCTCACTAAATCGTACATCAGCAACTCATGTGTAGAATTCAGAATATTGTTCTTAGTCTTACAGAGAACAGCAAACAGAAACAAACGTATGCCTGTGGTAGGAGAACCAGCTATACTGCAAGCTGCAGTTCATTTAATAGTAATTTTAATACCAAATAATTTCAAAGCCAACACCCCTATTTTCTTGTGGTATTGCTGTTCATATAGAAAGACTGATATTGCTTCTTGTTTGTGAATTTGATACTCTGGTTAAATTAAAATATGTCACATTTATTCATATCAATATGTTACATGTCATCTGAATCATCATGATAATATTTAGAAAAGTCTGTAGTAAGCTGTGTGCCTTGTCCAGTTGCTACTTACTTAAAGGGTTTTTTAAAAACTTATAAAGCATAATTAACCAATTTAAGTAATTCTTTACTCCAAAAAGAAATGTTTCAACAAACCAGAAAGTCTGGTTGAGCTGGGCGCACAAGGAGAGACGAGAGAGGAGGAGAGGGGTGATCAGACATTGAATATCCTCAGTCCAATGCTGCCAAGCTTACTGAGGTAGAGATATCTTTAAGGGAAGTTTCTGGGCTGCATTGTCAGTAGTCCTCACTGGAATGTTAGGTTCCCACCAACTTCACAATGATAACAACTGGTCCCTTCCCACTACCCCAGCAAAGCTGGAGATTCTTCATAGGTACATATTTGTCTAAGTAAACTCCTTAAAGCAATGCTAATGACTAGTGAAAAGGTATTTTCCTCTCCTCCTTTGGAGGATGGAAACTGTCCTGTAGAAAGCAATTCAAACTAAGGAAGGGCACATGGATACACTTGGTATTGCCTATCTATCTGGATGTGGAACAGTGCTTTCAATTAATTTAAAAATGTTAGTTACTCTTCTTATATTAGTAGAAAAAGCTGTCTGAGAGCTCTTAATTACAAATGTGAATCTAAGTAATGTGTTTTGGCTTGTCCACCCCAAATCTACCTAAAAAGCCACCGGGTTCCTGTGTGTCCTGCTCCTGATCTATTCCCAGCTCCTTGGAATCAGCAAATAATGTTGCAACAACCAGAAGTACAGTAGAATTCTTTGTCTCAGACTCAATGACTCAAAACATTATCCTGCTGTGCCCAGTTGGCAGCAGACTAGACCTTCATTGCTCTGCGTGGTTCCTGGCTGTTAACGTAGTCTTGGGGTGCAGTTACAATCATTACAAAAGTGTTACAATTATGAAGATGGAGCAATTACAGATCCAAAATTCTAGGTTACAAACCCATAACTACATTATATTTACAAGTTATGAGCCGACCACTGTCAAACAGTTCCACCTGTTTTTTGTTTTCTTTTTATTCTGGTCTGCTGGACCAAGCAGTTAATAAACCCTTGATTTTCCACTCCAAAGCAAACAGTAAAAATGGAGGTTATCGAGCATCCAATGGACTGTTGCTATATTGGGCAGGTGAGCAATTTAATAAGCTATGCAGTTTTATGCTCTAATATAAGGCTAGAATGAACGTTTCTGAATGCACATAGTTTTTAAAATAAATCATAGAGATTATGCAACTGGCTGACAGTGTTAGGTGGCTAATGGTGATGACAATAATGACACCTGGGATGAATTTTTTTGAACACTTTAGCGCTTTTAAAGTAATTTTGGATGTTGAATTCCAAAAGCACAACAAAAATGTCCTAACAAAAGTCTTTCACAATTACATTACCATTTTCAATACTAATTTCATTCAATTAAATTGCACACATACACATGTTAAATCAAACTGTGAAAAAAAAGTATGTGAAGGAGCAAATAAGAGGTCATGTTTAGATTTAGCACCAAAACTAGAATACCTTCTTTTAAAAAGTTGCTATGACCCTCACCTCAACTTTGAATGCTCTTGTTATTTTTAATGCACCAACAGTATACATGGCACTTAATAGAACAAAATAATTATACAGACAGGACACCCTGAGAACTGATTTTTTTAAAAAAATCCTTTGGCTTGAGTTAGCAAGCATCTGGCACTTTGCACATTTTAATAATAATACTCTTTTTCACATGAAGCTTGGTTTCAGAGGAGAAGCCATGCTACATCCTGACCACTAGATGGCAGAAGAACACAATAATTTACATTTAAAATATATTTGGTTGGAAAGGAAATATTGTGACAGTGCTTAACATTTGTAGCTACAGAAACAATGGAACAGAATTAGACTGATCCTCAGGCTACCAAATTCAAAATTAAAGCTACACACTCATAATTATTATCATATGTCACTGTCACTATCCAGAAAACCTTCAATAACCAACATGGGAACTGCATTTTAGGCATTAAAAATTGTAAATGCAACTAAGCTGTAGAAAGGGTTGCATTTCCATGTGTGGAGGTGAGTTCAATGTATAAAGATTGATGCTATACAAAAAATGGAACTCAAAGAAAATGCCTTATATGGAGAGACCATAGGTCTTTTTAACTCAATATAAATGACATTGACATTAGGGGTTCAATTTCAGGAAGGATTTCTTCCTGCCCCCACCTACAAAGGAAAGGGAGCTTTACCTGGAAGCTTCTGCACCCAATTTATTTATTTATTTATTTATTTATTTACCATATTTATATACCACCTTCCTCAGCCCAAAGGCTACTCAAGATAAATGCTGGTCATTAAGCTATGACCTGTCTCACATTAATCACAGACCTTCATTTACTTGTTTTTAAGCAAATTTTGTGAGCATGTAAAATGGAGGCTAAAGATTATTTATTTATTTATTTATTTAAAGCAGGGGTCCTCAAACTTTTTAAAAAGAGGGCCAGGTCACAGTCCCTCAAACTGTTGGAGGGCCGGATTATAATTTTTAAAAAACCATGAATGAATCTCTATGCACACTGCACATACCTTATTTGTAGTGCAAAAAAAACCCCACTTAAAAACAATACAATGATTAAAATGCAGAACAATTTTAACAAATATAAACTTGTTAGTATTTCAATGGGAAGTGTGGGCCTCCTTTTGGCTGATAAGATAGGATTGTTGTTGTTGTGTGCTTTCAAGTCAATTCAGATTTAGGTTGACCCTGAGCGAGGGCCGGGTAAACGACCTTAGAGGGCCGTATCCAGCCCCTGGGCCTTAGTTTGAGGACCCTTGATTTAAAGCATTTATATTCCGCCCTTCTTATCCCAAAGGGGACTCAAGGGGGAGCACAACATACAAATGACAAACATTTAAATGCCAGGACTTAAATAGATTATACACATACATAAACATTAAAATCATTTATCTGAACATTAAAATCCACTGTTAAAAACCATCCACATTGAGCTGGTTGGCATGGTAAGGTTTCCTATTGCTGCCTTATTGCACTGTGCATTTCATCCACAGCATGTTGAAAAGAAGTTGGCTTGTGAAAAGGTAGATTTTTAAAGTCTGTTTGCACTAGATGTTCCATCTATGAAGCAAAAGGGCCCTGCCAATTAATGAGAGATCAAGAGAATATGGCCGTTCTGTATAAAGCTTGTCCAAACAAGGCAGCAAACAGATCCATGCCACCTTAATTATTTATTTATTTATTTCATCTACTTATACCCCGCCCTTCTCACCCCGGGGGGGACTCAGGGCGGCTTACAAAGGAGGCACAATTAACAATGCATAAATACAGTAAGTACCAAACCAGAGGTGGAAAGACTGTTTGCTTTTTGTTTGCATGCTTTTGTTTTGTTGCAAAGCTACAAAAACAAATAATCAGATTTCACAACACTCTGGAAACAGAACATTTGAACAAAAGTAAGAGTTTTGTGCAGTTTTCAACTGACTATTTGCAGATACCCTGGTATTTTAGGAAGGTTCTGCACATAAACTTGCATGATATACTTGTGTTAAAATTATGAAGCAATGTTGCACAAATGTGGAATGCTAGGAAGTGCCTCCGTTAAAATTTCCACAAACTAATTTCAAAAGCTCATTTTTTTTACAAAGGTTAATAAAAAGGATGGGATTTCAAGAAAATAAAATAAAATTTGGGCCCCTACAAGCCACAGATGTCAAAGAGCAGTAGAAGTTAACTACAGGTGTTTCAAGAATGGGAACCTACTAGTGGATACAATCTTCTTCCTGAAGCTGAAATAGTGGTTGTTTTATCTGGAGTGACCAGGCCACATAATTGATCCAATCATTATTTTTTCTTCTCTTTTCCCCTTTCTTTTTTAGTTAAAAAGAAAAATACAATTTACTTACCCAGCCAACTTCTGTTTAAATACACTGAAACAAACACTGGAGGAACCGTGAAGAAATCTACCACCGAGTTTACTTCCAGCCAAAACCACAGCTTGTCGTTGGCTGCTATGAACTGTGAAAAGAGAAGGGAGAAGAAATGAAGATGATGGTTCTGTTGAAAGGAAAGCATGGTGTCATTTTTCTTTAATTAAAAAACAAAACAACAGCTGTAAAAATGACTTTTGCTGCCTGGCTAAGGTGGCCTCCTACCTGGTTGTTTAGGGCTATTCAAAATACATAGCTAGCAACTTTGGGCTTCAGGAGAAAAGTGGGATAACAACCACCACCACTACAATAACAAAGGACTTTCTTTAAAAAATGCATACAGTGAGAGTCAGTAGAATTCTACAAAATATTTAGAGAAAAATGTTTCTGAAAACTGGTGAAATATAAATTGTCATACTAATTCAGGTAAACCAGTATGATATTTTGATACATTACTTGGAGTCTATGGACTTATGGAAATAAAACCTACTTCTCGAATATGCAAAAAATAACTAAAAAGACTATTTGCCACGTTGCATATAATGCTTCTTCCTTCGTTTCTTTTATATCCCACTTTTCTCCCAAAGTGAGAGGCAATTTAATTTTCACACACCAGCTTTCAACTTTAATGAGTTAATAGATTTTTTTACATAACTTTTATGAATCTTGGAGACATAGAAATGTTGTAAGGGATCCAAGGAATAGAACTTCCTGCTTATTTAACTTGAGCACTGTATATGTCCCCAAGAAGTTCAGATCCTCCTGGGGTACACACTGTGGTATTTGTCTTCAAATTGATAATTTTATATATTTCTGCACACAAAAGGAATCTTCTAAATTGATGTTCCCGGACAATCCATTGGGGGAGGGGGTGTAACTACTATTACTACTACATGTGGGTGGTTCTGTTTGGATCCTAAAGTAACACACATTCAACAATTCCGCTTTCCTGCCAAAGTGCATAGTCATTTGAATTGGAAGAATTTATCCATTTTCCTTGAGTGGGGAAATAGATAATTATCACAGGTGGCTCTAAAACATTAGAAGGATTAGAGAGGAAAGCAACCAAAGATCTGGAATGCTCCAACATTTCAGATCCTCAGCTTCCTTTCCCCATGGCCTCCTTCGCACAACATCAGGGAGGAGGGTAAAGGCAAAGGCCTGTAGGTTGTAGTCTTTTGGGAATCTTTTGTTGCTCTTCTGCACCCAGTTGCACTTTGGTATTGACAGATGTGTCTATTAAAAGATTGCAGCAAAAATTGAGAAAGGGGCTTGAAGAATTCTCTTTATGGTTTTCAGACACTTGGCAAGATGTTTCCTCAGTTTTTCTTCCTGAAGTAGTTGAATATTTCTTCTCTTTCTAGCTCAATGAGATATATGGTATCCTGAATTATGTTGATACCTAGATGCACCATGGGAATAACAGTTCTAAATAAACTCTAGTCTGGCTGACTATGTCCTTATATTCCAGAAGAAATTGAAACATTAAGTCATACTTTGTTGTGTCCCCCATTACTGCAAGATCTCTGCAATGAGCTTATTAACCCATCAATCATTTTATAGCCACGAAGGCTATATGAATACTGTGTTGCAGAAATCAAAGCAAAGAAGGTTATGAGCTAACCTTTTATCTAATTAAATCAATATTGGTTTTAAGATTGGTTTTGATAAAACATAAGAATGGATTTTACTCCACTGAAAATTTTCTACAGTAGCAGATGTCCAACAGTGCACTCAATCATTCTCCACCAACTTTCATTGCATGAAATTCATTGCATGTTCATTGCATTAAATGCCTTTACTTTGCTTTTGCCACTTGTGGCTACCATTGTAACCTGTTTCTGTGTGATTATTTGAATCTTGTTTTTCATTCTGATGTCATTTTTATATAATAACTTCACTGTCATTATCTTTATTATATTGCATTATTGTAATTGTTTTTTGTCTTTTCTGGAAATTGAATGTTTGCCTTTTTGTGTTGTAAACTGCCCTGAGTCCCCTCTGGGAGAGAAGGCAGTCTATAAATAAAGTATTATTATTATTAATTATTTTACTGACACAAAACCACAGTATGTCACCGCAAACGAGATCTATATGCTGGATTTCATATCACAAAATCGCAAGCTAAAAACTTCCCAAGCGTCTAGGACAGTGTGATGTATTTTCGAATGATGCGCGCAAATCCAAGTAAGGTTGCCTTTTGCAGCTGATAGATTGTGATTTTGTCAATGCTTATTGTTTCCAATTGTCAGCTGAGATCTTTTGGCATGGCACCCTGTGTGCTGATGACCACTGGGCCACCTATACTGGTTTATGCCAGAGCCTTTGCAGTTTGATTTTGAGGTCCTGATAACAGCTGAGTTTTTCCTGTTGTTTTCCTCAATGCGACTGTCACCCGGTATGGTGACATCAATAATCCAAACTTTTTTATTTTCCACAATTGTGATGTCTGGTGTATTGTCTTCCAAAAATGTGTCAGTCTGGATTCGAATGTCCCACAGTATTTTTGCATGTTCGTTTTCCACTACCTTTGCAGGTTTATGATCCCACCAGTTCTTAACTACTGTCAGGTGGTACTTGTAAAATAAGTTCCAATGAATCATTTGGGCCACAGAGTTGTGCCTCTGTTTGTAGTCCATTTGTGCAATATTTTTGCAGCAGCTGCAAAGCCTACAAAATTTGGCTAAGCCGTTCCATCTGTGATTAGATATTATTATTATTATTATTATTATTATTATTATTATTATTATTATTACCACCATTGGACTTTGTGGGATTCCTTCCATTGCTAACAGTAAAACAGAGAGGTAAGAGTTGGGGAATCCTTCTAGGTGACCCTTCAACTACTCAGCATTCTACAGATTCTCACAATAATATAATCATTTACCAAGCAGATAGTCATTGCTTTTGGTGATCAAGAAGTTGCCATTTAACACATCTGGAGGATGCCAGGGTGGGAAAGTCTGACTCAAGTGCAATACTAAGAGAAAGCCAGGGAAATATTTCACCTTGTAAAATTGCAATAGTAAAACCAGATACTTACACGCAAGCCAAAGTAGAGCAGGAAGAACACGTTGAAAGCCATGTCTATCTGTAACGTGAAATCTTTGTAGAAATTCTGGCAAGATTCTATTGGGCTATTTAAGAAAAGAAAAAAAACATAGTAAACTAGACGAATTAACCTTGCATAAAAGAAAAATGACAACAATTGAAGCTGTGGCTTCTTTTTATTGTTATGGACTGAATTCAATCATTATTGCTTCTCTGCTGGTACCCCCGCTTTCTTAAGTGCAACCAGTCATTTATCTTAATTTTTGTTGTTATTGATATCAAAAAGAAGAAGAAATTGAATTTACAGCCAATTTTACTAATCAACTGTTCAATCAACAGCTGAAACAGAAACATGCAGATATTTTTAAGGAAGAGCAAGCAAGAAAATGTTTTAGGATTCCTTCATCCCACATTAACCCTTAAAGAACCGACTTCTACAAAGTACTTAAAGATATATAACAGTTCATCAGTCTAACTAGGTCTCCCAACTTTGTAATGGCCAATGTTTCTATGCTTTTTACAGCTATTTCATCTGCAGTGAGCGGGAACACTAATACCCATGCCATGAAAGGTTTTGCCTATTTCCTGCAGTTCAAGCTGCCAGTAGTTCTTCTTGTCAGTTAGCTACCCTAAATCTAACATATATTAATTATGCAATACTTTATGTATTTTGACTAGAACAGTATTATATAAATATCCAATATCAATAATTTCAGGATATCTTTCTTTTTTTAAAAAAATTACCAAATTTTACATCATGTTTCACCCTCCCCTTCAGGGTAAGCAAAATAAAATAAAAGGATGTTGTTGCTTATGGATATTTGCCAAGTTAGGAGATGGTGAAAGTTTTGCTTGCTACTTTACATACATAGACACATGAAATCAGTAGAAAGAACATAGTGCACTATTACAGATCTAAATGCAGAGAAGATATTCCAGAATTAGAAGCAGAACTCCAAGGGTTAATTTTCACATGCAGGTTAAATAAAAATTCCTCTCATTTTATCTTCCTCTATCTCAGGCAACCATTGCAACCACCAGTTTTATTTAAAAACATTGGCACGTACAATTTAGTAGCATCCTCTATACAAACTGGTACTATGATATACTTAATATGCCAGCTCAGAACTAACTGAAAAATATATATGTTTGAACAAATTGTGATTTATTTGTAATTGTCCTTGATGGTTGTGGATTAGACCCGCCCCACCCCCCACCCCCCCAAAAACAGTTAAGCAATGGGTCTCAGTTTATCACAAGTTATCATTCAGTTAGTGTAATCTCATAGAGTTAAGAATGACCCTTTCTCGAGCTGATGAATGATTTAATACCAAAGGAAAAAGAAACGTATTTGATATCGGGGGGGGGGGGGGAGCAATGAAAAAAAGAGAAAAGGAAATTACCCAAAATCATTATTTTATTTGTACAAATAAATCACTGAATATCATACCAGTTAGTATAGTTGTACATGGCATAAACAAGACCAAGTCGCTGAACAAGCAGAATTCTATGCATTCTGGATGTCATCAATTTAATAAACCAGACAATTTGAGTTTTACACATGCAACCAAGTTCCCATTTACTCAAACAAGTCCACCAAGAGCATGCCCCTTGTTTATCCTCAGGCCTTTTATTGTTGCAAACATTTCTCTGAAGGACACTGTAAAGGAATCTAAGAAGGCTTAATATTCCACAAAACCATAATCAACGTATTTTGAAAGAAAGATGCCTAGCACATCTGAATAATTTTGTGTCTATTATATATACTATGCATATATAGAAGAGGCTGAATAGTAAAAACGAAAGAACATCTACAGTACTGGTAGCAAAGCAACATAAAATAAAAACAGCTTCATACATTACAGAAAAGTGAAGCCAGAAGAGTAAGACAGCGATGTCTTCTGTGCTCTCCATCCCCAAGTCTGCACACATTTTCCAAAGCCTACAAAATTTGGCTAAGCCATTCCACCTGTGATTAGATCTTCCAATGCTATCTAAATCATCTATCTCACAAAGAATGACATATGTAGGTCTTCAAATGGTCATCAAAGCAGAAAAAAGAACTGTGTTTCATCTATTCAGGTGTTTTTCAAACTTCTTTGTAGTGTATGAAGCAGCATGGGACAAAAACATACAATCAAGAGATTCATATGGTGTAGCTCTTGCTGAACTATACTGTTTCAGATCACATACATGTAATCATATATTTTGACCATTTCTGCATCATTGTTATCAACATCAGCATTTTTGTCATCATCACGTAGTAGGAATACTAATGTACAAAAACTGAAACAACTAGAGCTGCCACATAGAAAGTACATACACCAAAATTATTGCCATGGACCATCAAGTTTTCCTACTTGAAGCAACAAGAGATGGGGTAATAAGAGATGGGGTAATAAGCCTATCTCAGGTTTCCTATAATCTAAATGAACTGTACAGATTCACTATCACTGCTGAGGAGTTCCTCCTATCTTATATGTCATGAAAATTGTATACATCTAGGGTTCAATACTGAAATTACATGCTACAAAGAAACTTTCTTAACAAATAAAGTTTAGATTGCACAAATGGTCAAATTTTGTATTTTTGGTCTATTTAAGGTTCATTTGTTGGTCATTTCTATTTTCATTTATCTATAATTTTGCTTGGTTTTAATATAAGAAAATACATTTAAAGATATTTTTAATTTCTTATATAATATGTTTAGGCATTTATGTCAAATGCATATGTTATGCCATTTTCTCCAAATACGCATTTTAAATGCATTTGTGAGTGTGTGTTAAATTGAACATAGGAATGGCACAAGGATTATGAGACTGGATTTTGCTTTGTGATCGAGGCATTATGAATGATTAATTGTGTATTTTGTTATTGTGTATGATGTGTTTTAATTGTTATTGTTGTGTTAATTTACATTGTGTAAACCGCATTGAGTCGCCTAATTAGGTTGAGAAACGCGGTATAGAAATAAAGCAAATAATAATAATAATAATAATAATAATAATAATAATAATTGTGTAAATATGCATGTGCATACATATATACATACACATAGACTTGTATACACACAAATTATTTATATAGGATAGAACTCAATAGCAAAATTTGGAAAAGTGCAAAAACTAATGAATCACTTCATTCTCATCTGCACTTTAATTGAGTAAGCATGAATGAGATTGGTTCATAACAGAATGCAGCAACAGCCACCCAAATGCCTCTGGAAAACATGCAGGCAAGATAGCAAAGCAGTCGTTTGTCCCACTCAAGTGGTAATCAATGGCATATTGCTTCTGAAAGTGGAAGTTAGATTTACATCCTGAACTGCTATTAGTAATGACAGCTTCTCTCCAAAAGTCTGCCACATAGTTCAAAACAACAAACTTACATCCTGAGATCCCTACATCTAGCACACCCTTCATAAGAAGGTCAGGGCAGCATAGAGAATGGAGCTGTCTGAGACAACAGAGGCCCAAATTCAAATTCCCATCCAAACAAGAGAATCACTGAAGGACCTTATACTGGTCACCACTGTCTAAGCTACCTAGTTCACACACACCCTCAGGAAAAAAAGGAGCAGCCGATATCATGCACATCTTGGAGGGAGGGCAGTATAAAATGGCTTTTTTTGGCCAGTAGATGTGCCCCTACATAGATGTCTCATTCTGTTTCTCTTCCTCACTAGCCTCTTATTTCTTTATACATCCACAGAATTATTAGAAGAATCCCATCATCTCAGATAAGTGGTGTCACATCTTCTAACTCCATAGACAGAAGACCTCACAAAATAGTTACCTGTCATTTCTTTCTCCCATCCTACTTGGGGATAAGTAATGAGCTAGAGTGTCCTTTAAAAAGAAACTACAGCATCCCAATTAATAGTGAGAAAAATTACTAATGGGATGGGTTGTCATTATAGTTTGAATGAAACATTAATTGTACTGACTGCAAAAGGAATAAAGAAGCAAAAAAAAAATTGATCTTTGTGAATGAAGTCCTGAAGAAGATAAGTACATTCTATCTGCCAGAATCATTGTGAATAGCCTCCCCACACTTTAAGGTGGTACCTAATTTTCCTACTTGACAGATGCAACTGTTTTTTGGGGTACAAAGGTCGACAACAGGCTACACAATTGGTTGGAAACCCACTCCAACCCGGGCTGGCTTCGAACACATGACCTTTTGGTCAGAGTGATCTTAATGCACCTGACACTCAGCCAGCTGCACCACAATCCCGGTGCTGTTTAAGTTCCATGCCTCCTATTTGGATTGCAAACCTTGTTTCAAGTTTCAAACTTTTGGGATTATAGTCAAGTTCAAGTATCAAACCTTTGGATTATGGTCATGTTCATGCTTTCAAGCTTTTGGATATAATTCTAGTTTAAACGCAAGAACCCCTGGATTACAGTTTCTTGCTTTTCTCTTAAGTGCTTAGCATTTCTATTCAGAGACGGGCATTGCTTTTTGTTAAGCTTCTAGAAATCTAGCTCATAGATGTATTTTGAAATTGTTTTTATATTAGATACTCTTTTCTTATTTTTGTTGATCCGTGTGGTGTTTGGGTGAAAAAGGGATCAAGTAGGCTGCTGGGCTGCAACAGTTATACTTACTGTATTGTCGAAGGCTTTCATGCCTGGAATCACTGGGTTGTTGTAGGTTTTTCCGGGCTATATGGCCATGTTCTGGAGGCAATTTTTCTCCTGACGTTTCGCCTGCATCTATGGCAAGCATCCTTACTATCTCTGAGGATGCTTGCCATAGATGCAGGCAAAACGTCAGGAGAAAAATTGCCTCCAGAACATGGCCATATAGCCCGGAAAAACCTACAACAACCCAGTTATACTTACTACCTTATGCAAACATAATATTTAATGATTGATTATATGCATTATTATTGTTTCAGTATAATCCTTTAGACTTCCCTACAGGAATGCAAGATATATTCCTGACATCTCCTCTTTTGAACTGTAGAACCATGTGCCACAAAATTGGCACAACACTTTCTCCATATTCCATAGAAGGGCCTTGCAATAGTCTACATTTTCTATAATTGAATTGGGCACCAGGATAAGATACATTCATCTTT